AGCCGTTAACGACCTAAGGATACAACTCGCGATAAATGCGGGTAAAACGCAGTAGCGGGGATTGAAACGTTAAACCGCAAAACGAGCGCGCTGTTACACGCGTTCGTATCCGCGTGCGAGCGGGCGTGTTGCGCCATGCTGCTTAAATAATACGTAAAACACTCAGCCGAGATATTCGCGGCCATTAAAATCATCCTACACTTCGCGCGGATCTTGTTGCTCTCCGTAACTACATTTAACGATACATTACGCTCTCCCGCCGGCCATTAAGACGTGATTATCCTTAAACAATAGCTCTCTCATATTCCCCTTAGTCGTTATTAGAGGGAATGGGGCGGTAACCGAATTAACGAGTGCGTGCGTTCTCCATGTACGCATACCACGGATTTGCCGGGCTCGAAAAAAACGCGTTTATTCGTCAAAGACAACGGTATCGTCGATACTGCCGTCAAGCAATCGGTTATTACCATCCTTACCGTTAACTACTTAACGACTGAAAACTATCAAAACATTGACGAGAGAAAAAACGATCGTTTTCGAATGCCTGAAGAGATAAAAACGTAAAAACGGCCACTAAAAACGTAACAAGTCTCTCTCTACAAAAGGAAATTGGTGAATGCGTAATGGGGAAAGGAGGCGTTTAAATATAAATTGCGCAATATTATACGTCCAAAGTATATCTTTTTTTATTTTTCTGCTGAGAGTACAGCGTTACGTAAATATACGAAATTAGCTCGTAAAAAATTGAGGTTCTTCAAAACGAAGAACAGGAGGACCACGTAAACAACACTTTTTGAGAGTTCATAAATTATGGATTCGGTGAATTTTTGGGTAAACAAGTGTACGTAATAAAGTTTCTATTTCATTTAAATTTAAAGAGGAATATTTCGTGAAAACGCAATATCTCGATGGCGTGCCGCGAATCTATTGAATTAGAAGCACGGTGTCTGGCTAGAATCGTTAATAATCGAATTATCTACGTGCAGCTTACTAACTTGATTCCGTCCGTTTTCGCGGTGTTAATATCGGCACGGGAAACAGGAAGATCGAACATACCCACCGGCTTCTCATTAAAAGCGCTTCTCGCTTCGCGCGAGATCTCGTCGCATTTACTTCATTAGTTAAAGATCTCGATAAGAGAAAACGTGCGCACCTTTTATGAAGTTCGTTGGCCTTGCGACATTCGTGTGGAGCATTGCTGTGGAACTCACAGAGAAAAATTTTTAGTATTTGTGACTATAATTACGTGTTACTATATATAATTATGGTAATTATAGTCAATTTACTCGTGTATATATTTCGGACAAAAAATTGTCATTTGCTACTCGATGGTGTTGAATCGAAAATCGGTATAAATATATATTCGGTAATTTTTCTATTCGCAGTCATAGTGTATCTCCTCACAGATTAACGTTCGTAGTTAAATTGTTTTTTTTTTTCGCGCGAAAGATGAGGAAATCGTACGAGTCGACGCGAGACGATACGTCTGAGTTTCGCTAATGATCACGGTGGCAATTAGTTAAAGCCTCTCCCTGTAAATCTTCTCTAACTAATTACCTTTTACACCCCTCCCAACCCCCGATGAGTAGAAGACCACACGGGCTTTCTCGGGGGCGACCTCGCGGTTAAACGCTAATTATTATCCCTGTCCGCGATAAATTAAACTGCCAGAGTCTACCTTCAAATATGGCTGTTGTGCGTATGCACGATGCTTGATGGAGGATGGCACAGACGTGGCACGGTGCGCTACTCTCCCGCTTGTTAGATTTGTGTTAGCCTTCTATTCTGCAGAGTTAATTCGCGTCATACATACACGCGCAACGCGAAATCACGCCCTTACTATTGCGCGTGAGCGGAATGTTCGGACGTCTTTGGAGTTTGCCGCCAACTTTTACGGCGAGCGAAAAAGTAGGGACGACTACTGCATGCAAAATCCATCTGCAAATTTCCTATAGCTACTTTCCTTTTTTGGATATCTTACCGATTGGAATGTGCAAATTATTTTAGACTTTTACCACATATCTAATTTATACATTATGAACAGAGTGGCGCACGAAATGTCATATTATTTAATTTTCCAATTTTCAAGCTTTGGTAATAAATTTCAGTCCTGTATAAATTTTGTTAGAAATAAATACGTTATATGTACGTGTTATAATAAATCAAATGTATGACATTTCGTGTGTCACTCTGTGTAATTTTTGTTGTTTGTGTGCACTGTTTATTTTTTAATATTTTTACTATACTGGATCAAAAATTTGCAGGAAACAGCATTTCGTGTTTAATATTCTTGTTTAATAGAGAATTAATTACTTTTTTTTTTAGAAACAGAGAAAGAACTGAAACTCATGAAAAAAATTAATGTACTATATATAACATTTATTTTACCCATACCTTGTCAGTAATATTGAGTTTCAGATAGGTCAATACATTTTTCCGAACTATTGATGCGTTAATTCATGATTGGGGTATGTTAAGGTAGCACCTCAAATATAGTACTCAGGAGTTCTGATTAGAGTTCCCACTTCCTTTTGACGAGACGAAGAGTTCCCTATAGTTAATAACAAGAGTTTCGCTCAATAAACATTTTGTTTACATTTTTTTAAAATGGGGTCCTAACTTTTTTATCGAATTTTGAGGTGGAATAGTTCTGAGCGGCTTAATAGCTTCAATTTGCGATTGCCTAGAGTTCCTGATATGTAACTTATTTTCTTTTTTTTTTTTTTTACAAAATATGTCTTTTTCTTAAAGAATTTAACATTTATCTAATACTTTTATACTCCATTTTCAACATATTACGAGATTTCTAGACAACCTTCTTTTTCTTTATGATAAGTATCTACTCTACAGAAGACTTGTATCTACCTTGCTGTATCTATTACATTATTCGTTTTTCCGTGATAAACGCCAGTAGTTTTGATAAGTGGCATTCTTGTACGGATCCATTACACCATCGTTAGCGATGCTCATCTAATTAGCTTCGCTATAGCTCGCTAATAAAGATGCACAAAGCAGCGAGTAACGGGACTTTCACCGAAGATGCATAATATTCGTGCGAATATTCGTAGTATCCCCGAAGTAGCAACATTCGGTGGCTAAGACTGTAGAGAATGACTGCATATGTTGTATTACATATAAGTTTGGACATTGATATTTAAATGTCCGTATGTGTGTGCGTCGATTTTCGAAAATAAACATGCGATATAACGAAAACTGCATTTTCTAACACCTTTTTTTATTTATTTGATTCCATAACATTTTATTTAAGGTTGATAAAAATCATGTTTTAAACTATTTAAACGTGTAATCGACGTTTTATATTTTAAACATATCTTTATAATAATGTTTGAAACATACATAAGGTATTAAAAACATGTTGAAAAAAATCAATGTTTTGTTCTTAAAAGAAAATAATGAAAAACGTTATCTTTTTTAAATCCAGATTTTGACATTGCATTGACGAATTTTATTTATTAAATTGTTCTATTTTGCGATTCTATTTTAAAAATGAGAAGAAGTGGTTAATATTTTCTCTAGTTATATAAATTCTTTCTGATGTTTCAACTTTCAAATGTCGCGTCTGTAGAAAATTTGAGCAACATTTACAGTGAAACAGCATTTTTATCTTGATAGTAATCAATCAGACGAAGTAGGTAGTTAAACCTTATCCTCCTTTAAGATCCAGAATTAAGGAAACAATGTTCGGAGTACCCTACCATTCCTGTAAATTAAAGTGTTCTCATAGATGATATCGCATGACCTTTTCGAGAGAATTGTTTCCCTTCGCTAGGGGATCGATTCATTATATGTACAGTGAATTTCCTCCGAGGGGTACCACTTCAGGAAACGGTCTAGAAATGACTCGAAGGAAGTGGAGGTAGTGCAGCAGAAGGTTGTGCCATGACCTTCGCTCCTCTGAATCCGCCGGGAGCCCCGTCCCGTCACGTAGTTTCGATACAACGCGTAATGACAGTCCCGAAGAGAGAAGAAAACGCACGGCCGCCGATGGCGAATCCGGTCGCGACGCTGAATAGATTGCGCATCGATCAGCCATCATCATCATCACCGAAACGTGATCGCTACCGGCATTAACTTACGCGTTTTCCCTCTCCTCCAACGTAACAATCAGCACCAATTTACCGTCCGGATATTGCTGCGTATAGTGGATGCACCCTCGCATTCTTTCTCTTCCTTTCTCCGCGAGTAGTTGTTCGTAATCAATCCGAATGATCTTCAGCGACGATTCTGACGATTTCCAATGCTATTCTATGAGAGAGATGAGGTTCTTTTGAGAAACTTTCTTGCTTGAATGTGACAATTGTAAAAATTATAGGCTACGAGAATTAAATTTTTATAAGATGCACGTAAAAGAGAAATAAAGCTACGAAATAAATACAATAATTATATAAATAAAGTTATAAATCGAAAGAAAGCATACTACCTATAACTATATAAGAAATATTTGACTACAGGTATCTCTCTACCTACTTCAACTTTTAAACTTTTACGATCGATATTCGTTAAAAATCAGAAAAAGATGAAAAGTATTTAAGTTGAACCGAGATTAAGATTTACGTTGATGAAAATGAGCATTAACTTAATTTTTCATATAATTTAATAATTATTTAGTCCAGAATGGTAATGTAAATATTATTATTAAATTATATATAGTATGATTAGTAACTTTGATTAGTTATGATTAGTATTCACGACTTACGATCAATTTTATTTACGACTGAAGTTTTGGACAGTAATTAAGTCGTAAGTAGAGAGATACTATATATCTTAACTACATTATAACCTTAGTTATCTTTAGCTATAAAAATTTTTTAATTATGTTTATCATGGTTTTAATACAAGGCGATAGTATCACTGTTTAATATGTATTTCGATTTTTTTTTTTTTTTTTTTTTTTAAAATTGAGTCACTTTTTTTTTATCTAAGGGGTTTGTAAATTGATGAATGTGCATTTCATAATACCGTGATTTTTTTTATTACAGATTCTCAAATGGAACAAGGCTACAGATCAGAGGTCCAAGAACGAGCACTCGTCGTATCACTGCAGATGTTTAGCTTGATCTTGGAACGTGGTGTATACCTACTGAAAGCTCAGCTAGACAGCGAGCAGGAACCGAGGCTGGTGGTCGGCGAGGATCTCCAAGTGCTTCTACCAGCTATTAAGGTACTTTCCCCCTCTTTCCCCCATCAATACGTATCGGTTGAGCGAAGTCTTAATTGCGTTTCGCGACGCAAGTCGGTGAGCGTAAGTCAATTTCCGAGTCGAAACGTTGCCTCGATCACGTCCATCGTACGCAGCTCGCTATTACGGAATAATTAGATCTGGAGCAGTGGCGGCCAACCTCTCAACTTCTTACTAGACACATCACGATATTCTCATGATAGCCAAAACAAATATTAGCTTATTCGTAAAAAAAATAGCTTTCGTTCATTTGTTACTACTACTAGCTTTTATTCCGCTTCTCACGAGATAATTTATGGTAGGTTGTTGGTTGATTATCACTATTGGTTATCATCACTTTGAAAGACGCCGTTTTCTTCGTTAGCTTGATCCGATTCTACTTCTCGTCGTTGTCGCAACTCCGGACTCGAATGCTTAATCACGGAGAATTTATGAATCGCTGCGTGAGTTTCGCAACCACACATCCACTTGTGACCGATATGTCAAACCCAAAATCTGATCTGATCGTGTCGCGACTTATACAACTTAATGTTCACAATTAATGTATCTATCGTACGTCATCGCGTAAGTGCACGTTTCGATTAATGATCGTGATCAGAGATCGGAATTTTAAAATTACATGATTTTTAACTTAACATTAAGCCATATAAAAGATTGATCGCAAAATGATGCTACAAGCATACCAAATCGAAAAAAAAATAAGATTAATAGCCAAGAAAGCGGATGAAAATGTTGCTTAAACTAAAGTACATAAATGAATGTTAGTCTTATTATAAAAGTATGTAGTACAATTTTTTCAGATCATTGAAAAAATGACAAATTAGTACTGATTAATTATCGATTAACTACGACTTCATGGTATTAAATAAATATTTGTTTGTTATATTATGTATCGTGGAATTAGCGCGTCTTTGCACAATAATTATGTATTTCTCGGCTACGAAACGAAAAAAATAATAAAAAATATAAAAGAAGAAGTTAAATATAAAAAAGAAACAATGATTGCTATCGGAATGCGAGCTGATACAAAGAATAATAGCCAGACTCGCGCTTACGACTAAGGTGAGACCATTAATATTACCGATAAAGTAGACGCGATACAAGGCCGTTGGAATATGTTTCACCATATGAGGATGGATGAACGTTCTCAATGAAAAAAAAGTCTCGCGGGTGTGTCTATAAATAGCGAGGTATTTTTGTGAGTTCTCCGATATTAAAAATTTTGATAAAACTATAAACGAAAGAAATAAAAATCTCTAAGGAAGAAGTATCTTCCTTAAATAAATGATGTTATTTTAGGGAGAGAAAATAATCCGAGATGTCCTCGATTCGAAATAGTTTAAATTTTTGTTTCGCTCTTTTTATGTAACTACTATTTTATTAAATGTCTTTATTAATAGTGTTTACAGTTTCTTGCGATGTTATTCTTTTCGACGCATATTCACGCTTTTATCAAGCTATAATTTTTTAAAAATTGCGTGCATTTTATTTTAATGTTAACTTTTTATTATTTCTCACATTTGGGTGTAGAGGCCATGATTGAACATATTAAAAAGTTGATTCTTGTTGAAATCAGTTTTATTTCTCTCTTTATGTACATCTTTTAAAAATTTACTTTTCGAGAGGCTTATGAATTTTACAAATATCAATATTCAAGCAAGAAAGTTTCTCAACAGAAATTTATCTTTCACAGAATAACATTGGATTTACAATTAATTTTTTAAGAGAATACACTCCCTTTTTTTAACGTCATCGTTTCATTATTTTTGTGTAGGCGATTAAAATGTTTTAAAAAGTTAATTCTTGTTAAAATCGAAAAGATTATCTGCATATCAGTGACATTTTGGCTTATGTTGGCTTTACTATGGTTGCATTCCATGTAATGCTCGCGAGCATCATTTGTCCTTGTTTGATATTATTTGATAAATAACGAAGATGAAATGATTCCACGAGTGTTGTATGGAACGCAGTCTCTATATATTAATTTGGATTATAAATTACTATGTTCTTTTCTTTGTTTCTGCAGATCTGGTGCGATTGGATGCTCTGCCATAGCACCGTTTGGAATCCTCCGCCGTCTTGCACGGATTACAGAGTCGGGTAAGTTTCTTAATCTTAAACTCAATAAAGGAAATGAGATTTGCGTGTACGCGGCCTTTAGTCACCGTAATGTTCTGCTTGGGGAAAGTCCCTAATCTCCTTATATTGTTTCGCAACATAAATTTCATTTGGCTTACGGACTGCCCTGTCTTGGATTAATTACAACTTTGTTGCGCGTGCTAACCGCGCGTCGCAGAAATGCAGAATTACACTATTGGGATTAAAGTCAGACGCCAATGCGTGAAAACGAGTGTCGCATGTACCAAGAATGTAGCGTGCAACAGAAATGTTCGATATATTATATCTTGAACTTGCCGATCTTGTGGTTTTGTGGTTTGTGCGGTTTGAATCGGCCCATCGACTTTCAGCGAGTGCGACGTTTACGGGAAATTTGCGTTGTATAAAAATTTGCATTCATTAAAGATGACGTGCAATGTCGGAGATGATAGGGAGAGGCTCAAGGGAGGATTTTAAAATACATAAATGAAATATAATTTTTAAGATCTGAGAATAAATAGATAAATCTGTTTAACAAAATTTAAATTAAAAAATGTAGGTGTAATGTGTTTAAAATAATGTACTTAAAATTCCTCTTTCATAATGTTTAGTATTGATAAACGTTAGATTCTGAACTTAATCATTTTCAAATAGAATATATTTAGAAGTTTTATGAGAGATTACTATGAAAGAGAAGATTAATTTGAAATTAATTATTATCCGAACACATCTTTAACCTTGGGATCGTAACTGTCGCGCACGAACGAAGTACAAAGCACTTAGCATGTAGCGCGATCATGCTCACTGACATTTGACCTTGGAATAATTATTTCGAATCTGAGAGCAAGAAAGATCATTAGTGTGCGAAGTGCTACTGTCGGAATCTAATCATATTAGAGTATTCGAGATAAATTATATAACCAATCTCATTTGAAGACGCCTCAAGCACTTTAGCTTTGAAAAATCTTCCGACTTTTTTTTCGTGTGTCTTTGAATTTAGGCTGACATTACTGTTTTAACGGAGTCACGCGCGAAATCGAAAACAAAGCGACAAATTGAGGTCGTTAAATTTTTATACATTTCATTCGATCAACCGTGTTAGACCAACAATAAGACTAATATTACATTACGTTTTTGTCATACGTCAAATTTTTTAAGCGCGTGTTGGTTGCAGGACAGAGAGGTTCTCAGATGTGTCTATTTTATAGCCAATCAACAGAGTTGAAAAATTTGTCATACGACAGAAACGCTGATAAATGTAATATTACACACTGAAAATAAAGTTATTTCAATTAAAAATGCTGTCATCTAAATTACTGTAGCAGCCGATTTCATTCAGCGTACCTTAAAGGTATCTTTTGACACAAAACGGATCACGTGATAAAAAATGACGAATATGAATTTTGATCACAAAGACCTATCATGACACTAGAAATGAGCGTCGAGCGTCAGCAGAAAAAGCACCTTAAAGATACCTTTTTGTACTAATGCTTGATGCTTATCTTTGTCAGAACAGGTCGCAGGATCAAAATTGATGCTTGATATTCAACAATTTGATCACGTGGCCTATTTTGATGCTAAAAACGAGTGTCAGTATAAAATTGTATCTTAATAGACACGAGCATGTTTCAGCGAGAGCCGATATCTCACGAAGGGGGAGAGGTGATGGAAGTGAGCGTGGCGTAGGTCACGGTCAACCGCTGCATCGTATCGAAGCTCGATCTCTCGCGAGTCGCGCGCCGTGCACCAGGTTCCCGCGGCACTATTTCTACCACGCTCCTTTCGCATTTGTAGCGACGAATGCATAAGTTACTGTCCCGTTTTATTTAATTATTACCGCATTAGTTCTAATTCCAACGAGGAGGGCGCGAGTTTCGCGCAACCCCGTGGACGCGCGAGATAGGCTTGGTCTACATCGCGCTTTCGTCGAATTAATCCTCCCAAAGCGCCGAGGAAAGGGGGACAGAGAGAGGGATATTTGTAGGGTGGCTTTCGCCAACTCGCGCACCGCATTCGGCTTCGTCGCAGCTGCACGTAGCGACTATTAATTCAGGTTGACACTTGAGGTGTTTTGAATTATAGCTGTTGTATCGGACTATTAATTTCCTCGCGTGGTGATGCCTCGGCGAATCGCATGTGGTGTGAGAAACTCGCGGGTAAAGACATCGCGACACCCGCGGCGGTCGTACGACGTTCCCGTGGCGCGACACGTGTTCGTGATTGTAATGTCTCGCTCCGTTTCTAATTTATAATTCTTACACTGCTGCCGCTATTTGATGGACAAATTTTCGAAAAAGAGGCAAAAGGACATATTAGTGTGTTATGAGTTCTATAAATCAGTGAAGAACTAATTAAACGAGGTAATTTTAAACAGTGCATCTATGAAGATGGAAATAAAATTTTTGCTTTACTTAGAAAGTGCGCGATACCTTTAAATTTTTCTTAAAAATTTAAACATTAATATATACGTATAGTATATACATATAGTACATACGTGTAGTAATTCCTAATTAAAAGAATATCGGGAGAGAAAAAAAAATAAAAATACAGAAAATTTTATTAATACAGAAAAGTGGTTTAAGACAAAAATTATTATCATGGATTTGAACTTATTGAAATTATGACACTCTTGAATACTGTTATTAGTGAATACTGTTATTAGACTACAAGAGTACTATAGATAGTTTTACGATCTATAGTACTCTTGTAGCCTTACGATCTAATATATACCTACTTCAATTTTATCTGATAATTTTCTATTTGCTGATCTTATGGGAATAATGAATTTTTATTTGAGCTTTACTTTTTCGCAAGCGCGAATCTGTTGTCCCCGAATTCTGGCGTGCCCTGTGCTGAGTCACGCCACTAAATAAGGGACTTGAGAACACGGGGAAAAATTCCGACGCCCTGCTATGCTTGAGGTCCTGTGGGCCAGTATTTCATCAAGGGGCCGGACCGGCGCGTCTCGAATTGATCATATGCGAATTGATCGAACGTGAGCGAATACTTTTTAGTGCGCGCTTCGTGCGCGCTCGTAGAGAGGACGAGAGAAGAGGAAGAAAGAGAGAGCAGTGCGCCGTTCATCTTATCGACGCACGGCGCGTCGTCGCTTCTCGGCGCGAGTTTCGCTAATGAGATAAAATAAAAGAAGAATAAGAGCTAGTAAAAGAGACAGAGAGAGAGGGGGATAAGAGCGCAAGAGTCACGCTTGTCCGACTGATGCAATCTACTGTCCATTAAATGAGCCTCAAGGCTCCCTCTTCCCTTCTTCCTCTTGTTCTCTGCCTCTCTTTCTCTCTCGCAACGTTGATCTCGAGACGTGGATTTTTTTTTTGCGTAACCAACAGCTACTATCTAGCTGGGATAGGTTAATCATTGTTGCTCGTTAGCGATTAACAATTACGTGAGTCAAGCGTTTCCTTGGCAAGGACGCCGCGCAGCGCGGGATGCTGCGATCGCCGATCCTCTCTCGATCTTGATCGTCGTTGCACTTAGAGCGGCGTGCAACGATTCAACGCGGACGTGGATTTCGATGGCAGATACGATTAATCGATGACCTTTAACAACATCAGTTAATCGCGCCGGAAACCACATACACTTTTGCCCTTTTGTCGCGAAATTAAGCGATCGCTGAAATCCCCTCGCTATCACGTGATCTTTAGTGCATCGTCATCGGAGTCGTGAATATATTATTAATCCGCGTGGGAAGGTCATCTGGGATGTTTTTATACCTCACCTGCGAGAAGATGTGAATTGTAAAATATTGTTTTGTATGAATGTTATTTTCTTTTATTTTAAATAATTAATTTTTACGCGAATTTTTAAATACTCAATTTTATTTTATTAAAAATCCGCAATATAAAAAAGCGTTATATTAAAATTTTTATTTTTTAATAATATTGTTATAATAAGAAACTTAACATATTTATTCCATTTAATATTTGTTTCTTTTTAAATTTCGTTTTTGCTTATTTTTCCAGCAAATTATCATTAAATTCGTATTATTCTTATACACTAATAAAATAATACCTACTATAGAAGTTGAATTGCAGTTTATTAATTTTTTACAGATTTGATTACCAGAGTGTTTTTATAATAAAAAAAATCGACTATATCTTTAAAGTCTAAAATTGTCGATGGAGGGTCGATAGTAGTGATTTTAAATAATTGGGGAGTATACAGTATATATCTATAAACTATATATATATATATATATATATATATATAAACATCCCAGGATTTATATAAGAAAAAAATCAGATAACTATTTTCGGATTAAGATTGCGTATGTGCGCGAAGTTTGCTAAAAATTTATAGTCAGATTCGTTTTTTTATAATGCAAGGCAAGCAGTAAATAATGTTGTTTTATTTCTTAAAGAAATAGAACATTAACACACAGAATATAATCGTTGCGTATTTCCGGTATTATAATTCTTTTAAATGCTCTTGTTTTGTACAATGAGAATTTGCAGGATCTGAGAGCCGCTATGCGCGACGAAAGAATTAATTGAACGAGCGACTTTGGCTTTACAGTAATACGGAAGTGGCAAATGGAAACGTATGCCCTGCCGCGGGTAGATCATTAATAATGTCAGTGAAACGAGCCGCCGCTGGTCATACGAAGTACATTAAATGTATAAATCCGTGATCTATTATTATTATCATCCACCGCGCACATTACGCGGGTCCCCCTTGCCACAATAATTTCTAATATGTAATTCTTGACATTGATAATGAATAGTCGCACGGAAATATATCATATTTGCGTAAGGTTCGGCGTCTCCTTTTCACATCACCTTTTCTCCTGGTCAGATATAAATTTTACGTACTGCCCATTCTTTTAATCGCGTCTTGAATTTATGCATCTCACCATAAATATGCGAAATCGTGCGCCACATCCCACGCGAAAAGGCGTGCGAAAATTCCACGTGCGTTTCGTCGCGACCACGCGGAAGCCGCGAATCTCTGAAATATCTCGATGTATTATTCGTGCAGTGCATTGAAACTGTATTTTTGGCAAATGGAATTTCATTGGAAGTCTCGGTCACGTCGAATGCGGTAATTGTACCCTTGTGGCAAGAAGTCGTCGCGTGACGAATGATCCAGAACCGAAAATATTTACTTCATGTCAAGTGCACGCCAGGTAGCCGATGCCGAAGAAAATAACAATTTACCTGATTGTTTTTTTTTTTTTTTTATAAGCAAATGTTTAAGCAAGTGTTGTTTGCACAGCCGGCATGAATTTTCGGGCATTTATGTTGTCATCTATACAAAAACAATAATAAAAAAATCTGAAACCCGTAGAAAATTAGTCTTGAATATTATCTCGAGATATAAAATGTTTGTCGCCTCGAGGCGCCAAAGTGGCGTTAAGCAATGTTAGAAAGTCTAGTAAAAAAATCTCTCATTTGAAGAATTAAAGATCATTATATCTCATTTCAATGCAACACAAGTCGTAAATTACTGTTTGACAATTTAATCTTTGAAGCGAGCAGTTTAATCGTATAGAAAGAATTCCACATTAAACCTTGGTATTATCGAATTCCTTCCTCGTTCTTACTTTTGAATTATGTATTAAAGGAATGATTAAATTCATTTGAGTTTTTCCGAATTACGATAGATCTTTACCGTGACGTGGTGGATCTGTAAGCAATTGTTTCGACTTTAGCTGTTTTCAATAAGTGTTATCACGAAACTTAGAAAAGGCTTAATTCAATCTTCTTTTGTTATTTACAGACCACCAGGAGATGCGTGGAGTAGATTAGCGACGATGGTTAATCTTCTAGAGAAATTAAATTACTCCAGGACGACTCTAATTCAAGGCAAGGATACGGAGGATCGCGAGGAAGGTAAGAAACTATTTTTCCGACTGTCTTTCAAGAGGAAAAAAAAATTCCGTGTATATTGATGGTCATCATGTTGTTTTATCTAAAGAGAAACATATTAGAAAGAATTAAAATAATTATTAATATTATTTTATTCTCTCTCTCTCTCTTCTCTCTCTCTCTCTCTCTCTCTCGCGGAAATTGATGCAAGTTGATATTATTAATTTAATTTCTTTACATTCCGATAATTATAATAGAGTTGTGCAAAATAATATCCACATTAATAAATTTAAAATAATAATGTCATTCGATTTATATTATTGGGACAATTAGTTTGATATAGTATAGGATATACTAAAATTTTCATAAAACTGGAGTAAGAATAAAATTCAAACATTATATTTAATAAAAATCGTTAACAAATGCTTTAACATGATCTGATATAAAATTATTAGTCTGCTAAGAAAGTTTTAATAAATTTATTATTTTTCAATATTTTAGTTGATTTTCTTTCCAGACAGAATATTGTCGTTATGTTAATTTGACCTCATATTGTCGGCATGTTAATTTGACCTCAATATCTTACTATCTAATCTCGAAATAATATTTTATTTCTAGCAGGTAGCTTCTAAATACATATATATCTTATCATTAGAGAAAATTGTTAGTGATTAATATTAATAAAATTCATTATTTATTGCTGCATTTTGATAACGTTAATTTTGCGACGTTTATGCTAATTAAGAGCGTGTGAACAGCGAGAGAAATGGCAATCGGTCGAAACGCTTCGGTTGCGATGCGAGTGATTCTCGCGGGCTGACCTGGACCAGACTTAATCCAAAAAATGGCGTTCCTCGAAGTCGGCGAAGTCAGTACCTGGTCTGTTGACCCGTAGATAGCTGGCGCGACGGTTGCGTAACGGTGAATACGTTCGACATGACCACTGCAATGCCATTCTCTTGCAGCCGCATTTACTAGCATGTGGCCAATGGTCTTTCAGCGTGCGTGCGAGCCACTATATGCATGCCGCGCGCATGTTATGAATACATAAATTGCATTGCCCCGAAGCCCATTCACGTGTAGACCTCGCCACGAAGATGACCCGACTTCGCATCTCTCACAGACTTTTCGGCTACCACGATTACATCCGTACGAATTTAGCACGTATCGTCGACGCATTCAGCTACACTGTTAAATCTATAGTGTCAAATTTAACCTAATTAAGTCGCCACTTCTCCTACTTAATATAGATATTTTATACTAAGGCTGCTATTTCATTTGTGCGTTTTTATCGTACGACAAAACAAATGAAATAGCAACGTTGATTAAATTCGGCACCATATAGTGTCAAATATAATTATTTGGTATGAAGTAACGATACGTTGAGTAAGGACATTGGCGACTTAAATTAGATTAAATTTGATATTACAGATTTAACAGTGCAGAGTGTCATCGTTAAGTTCTTCAGTCAGTTGTAGAACTGATGAAAATTTATCATTCTAGAGTAAAACGCTTTAAAATAGCACAGGTAATAATGTTTCGATTAATTTTAGTTCTTGAAGAATATTATATTAACGGTTCTCAGATATTCAGAGATGAAAGAATAGAGTAGTGCGCCATATCTATTATTTATGACACTGTCGAAGATTCAGATTCTTCTATTTTTCGATAACTAAACCTATATTTTATTTGATCGGTTTTGTGATGAATTCACGATTGCTGTTCACTAATAGCAATTGTCGATCATTGGCAAACCGACAAGAACCATAATGGTCGGTCGCGAATGCGTATGCTTCTCGCGAACAGAATACGGTGAATTTTTCTATTTTTGACAGATCACTGGACATGATCGCGAGTTCGGTCTCGAACTGGGTCTTCCAACGGGTCCGGTCGGCTGGAAACGAGTGTTCCAGTTTCGCGACGTCCTTGCTCGTAGTACACTTACCTCTAAACCGACTAGATACGAATGTGCGAACGTCAATACGCATTGCTCATAGTGAATATCATTACGCACGTATCGGTGAGGGTATGGCTGATCACATGACTGACTAGAATTAATAAGTTTGTCAAAGCAATAAAATCCGACATTAGCCTTTCGTTAACGCTGCTGTTGTTTGCCCCGAAGTCATTAACGTTTAATTGAGTTTATTTTTTACTATTTGTTAAAAAATAATATTTTTTTATATTTGCATTTAAAGTGGGATTCAGAAGCAAACGAGTGTAAATGAACCCGAATGAGTAACTTGTTTCGATACGTGATGCGATTAGCATTCGCGATGTTATAATAAATTTACTACTGAAGCAAATTATTCACTAGTTTATTCGTGTTTATGTTTTTGTTTGGTAGTTTAAAATGTATATGTATAAATTTTATATGTACACTGAAAAAATATTATTGATAGTTGAAAATGAACGAACTAGAAGATTATATTAATCAGAATTATCTTAACTAGAATTATAACTAGATTTAATTAGAAAATTTGTCCATTTTTTTTTTAAACCAGATTTCCAATTAATTCAATCCCAAATTTAGTTCCAATAAATTCATTTTCCAGTGTTTGAAAAGTATATAGAAAAAAATTCTTTGTCATTAACAAAAATATCGGAGATAAAATTTATCATTAGCAAACTTATATCGGACGCGAAAGACAGCGAATCTTCAGAGTGCAATCACACTTTATCGATTATACTAAATCGCGTTATTTGAATTCTTTTCGCGGTATATATAACATGATACAAATCTTTATGCGTTGATCGTATAAATTCAAATTTTGTACGCTTCCGAAAGAGCATCTGATTTAACAGGACTTTAGAATCGCATAACTTTATACAAGAAGCGTCGATTCTTGTGTATAAAAGATGTACCGGATTTTTCTATGTTTTATTTCAGACTTGGAACTCGTAAAACTACCGGAAGATATCACGTTGGCTGGGTTCACTCCTCTCATGTTGAATCCTCAAGATCCTTGCTACGTGGAGAAAACGGAAGATATGGTAATTTACATTATGTTATGTCTTCGGTAATTGCACTGATATACATATCTACAAGATACGTGCTTTTATTGTTGATTTTATTGCTGTTTTAAGTTTGTTGAACAAACCTCAAACAGGCTTAAAACAGACTCTCGTATCTCGAGGATTTCAAAGTACCGGAAGGACTTTTAGTATACCAGTGTTTTGTCTCGGGATATTTGCGCAGTCGCTCGACTTTCACGGGTTGGATAAACTCGCGACGCGTTTTCAGGAAGTGGCTCAGATGTGCCTCAGGATAAGCAAGATTCTCTTCTTCGGTCAAGTGTTCTTGTGCGGTTTGGAGACACCGGTGCTGAAATTGCAGAAAAGCGAGACCGGCATCAGCGAATATGTTTCCGTGGTCGAGGCTTCGAGCACGAGTTCGCCGAGTTCGCCGCCGACACAGGTACGTGGTAACTGTCGTAAATCTAGTCTCTCCTCCCCTTCTTCTAAAGAAAATGTATGGTCAGCGCGCTTGGAGTCTCCTTTGAATTCTCAATCCAATTTTTTTTAAAGCAAAAGAACAACTATAATTTATCTTAAAATTATCTTTATATGATCTCATATGCATGTATAACATGAAAAGAATGTTTGATGAAACATTTAAAAATTTAGTTACAGATCTGAATATAGTTTTGTTGAACCATCAAAATAATTATGTAGGAAACTCAAACATGACGATATGTCGTAAAAGTTTTGACATTCTATAGCAACCAATTTGTGAGCGTCCTATATAATTATTTTGATAGTTCAACAAAATTACTTTTTAGATTTGTATCTAGCTTTTTTAGACACTTCGGTAAAATTGTTTTTTGTTTTGTGTATATAATCATACGAGTAACTCTGTTGCGTAAAATATTAAAAGTTTTTAAAATTATGCAAGAGAATAATAATTACGAAATGCCAAAACAAAATTTAGGATTGGAACTTTTCCTTTGTAATGTTCAATTCGTTAAATCCGTTCGCTGCTATGGTTCGTTATCCAGGAATGGAATTAATTTATTTCTAGAGCGACTCGGAACTCATGGTAGAAAGTTACAGCGAAGGAGAGGAAGATTCGATTTCGACGTTGAGAAGATTACCCTCGTGTAGCAACGTGACCGACGATACGATGGCTCCCGTGGCGGCTGTCGAGATAAGGTCGCTGATCGAGAGGAAGGAGGAACTGAAGAGGCGGCAACGAAAACAAGATCGGCATCGACAGCGAGTACAGGTGAGTGCGAAATACCTTATAGCCTGGCGCGTATACGCAATCGGGGATGAGCTATCGATTTGTCGACATAAACAGCGTTACAATGAGGTGCTACTTTTGCAACATTATCATGTCGTAATGATCGATTAAAATTACGTATTAACCAGCGATTATTATTACGCAATGATAATTCTTCTTCCTCGTGAAATAGGTTTTGAGAGCATGTTTTTCCAAGATTAAGAAGATTCTGAGTACTTTCTTTGTACTTGAGTATTTGACTTGAATTTCTTTGATAGACTGCTAACTTTGCCGAAATTATTTAACGCTGGATCTGAATTGGTGATTATAGATCTTTAAATCACCATCCATTTTTGGCTCCTTAAACGCGAAAAGTCGCGTATTTAAAAATTCTTTCTATCTATCTGTACATTCTATAAGATTTTTTAAAAGATTTTTTTTTTAAGACGATGTGTGTCAAACGAAAGGTTAAATATTTGCGTCCATAGACCAATGCGAATTATTTGGAACGAATGCAAATGAATTTCAATACAGGAGTTTAATCGTTCGAAGACCGCGCGCTATGAATGGCACTCGAACGAGCTCGAGATCGATGAGGAATCTCGCCGCTTCCAAATTTAGTTCGCGCCGTGCACAATCTTCCACCGATGGAGACTTCCTCCGTGAATATTGCTGTCGAATGATTGTCTAACCGCGGCGATACCAGTCTAACCATCGTCTACATCACTGTCTTACTCTCCTCCGACTTGTCATCTTGCTTCGAAACAGCCAATTGACAGAAGAGTATACCGACTAAGTGTATTTATCATGGCTAAGTAGAATTAAATCAAGAGATTACAACATCCGTTTGACTTCTCGTAAACGGAGATGAAGAATACACTTCTGTCCTCTCTCTCTCTCTCTCTCTCTCTCTCTCTCTCTCTCT